CAGAGTATGTCTACACTGCAGTTTTTCCAGAAAAACGGCCGTTATTTTGGAAAAGCTACACTTACATCCACACTGCAATTGCGTTCTTTCGACAGAAAGTTGAAAGAACACAGGGTTTTTTCCAACAGTGGTAAAACCTCTTTCTACAACAGGGGTGGGCAAAAGGGCCTCTGTGGGCCACATTCGTCCCACCAAGCAGGTTGATCCAGCCCACAGAGGCTCTGCTGCTTCCCCACTCCCAGGCCAATTAGGGCCTAGGGGCGAGCGCAAAGCCTCCTCTGGCCCTGCCAGGAGCACACGGAGTTTTGAAGCGCTGCTCGCAGGGGTGAGCAGGAGTGGAGGAGGCTTCCCACGCTTCCCCACCCCCAGGCCCTAATTGGCCTTTGAGCAGGGGAGCGTGTGAAACCTCCTCCTGCCCTGCCAGTAGCACATGACACTTCAAAGCGCCATGCACTGCTCGCAGGTGGAGGGAGAGTGGAGGGGGCTTTGCGTGCTCCCCCAGGCCTTAATTGGCCTATGGGCAGGGAAGCGAGGGACATCTCCTCCCACACCAGGGGCATGGGCAACGTGGGGTAACGTGAGGTGAGGACACAGACACTCGCTCACCATCAGACCAATCATTGTCTAAGGGTGGGGAACGCGGAAATATCTTGGCCCCACCCTTTCCACTCGATGCCCTGCCTCTTCTGGTGCAGCCTGGGCCACTTCAAAAATTTTCAAAGTGGGCCCCCAGCAAAAAATTATTGCCCACTCCTGTTCTACAAGGAAGAAGTCTTTTTCTGAAAGAGCTCTTTTGGAAAAAAGTGTGTGTGGACAGCGATTTTTTTTTTTTTTTTTTTTGAAAGGAGAGGCCCCCAGGAAAAAGCACAGGTGACCTGGTGGCCACTCCATCCATAGTAATCACAACTTAAATGAGATATAGTGTCCAATCAAAGTGGACGCCATCTTCCGAAAAAGAAGATTGCTTTTTTGATGTGCTTTTGCTGTGTGGACACTCTCTTTTGGAAGAAGTTTTTCCCGAAGATCTCTTCTGGAAAAGCTTCTTGCGAAAGAAGCCTGCAGTCATGTTCCTTTCATCATCTTCAACACAGCTTCCTCCTAAGAAGGAACACTTCTCATGATACTTCATTTGGGCAATCAGGCCTTACATTTCTTTGTTGCACTGTTCGCATTTTGCACATATATCTGTCTTACAGGGAACTTAAAAACAGCCATACTGAGTCAGTCAATCATACCACAAGTCCATCTAGCCCAGTATCCTGTTTTCCGACAGTGCTAATGCCAGGTGCCCCAGAGGGAATAAATAGAACAGGTAACCATCAAGTGATACCTCCCCTGACAAACAGAGACTAGTGACACCATTCCTATCATCCTGGGCACAAAGCATTAATGGACCTAGCCTCCATGAATTAATCTAGTTCTTTTTTGAACCCTGTTAAAGACCTGACCTTCTCGACATCTGCCAAGAAGTTCCATATGTTCACTGCATGTTGCATGAAGAAAAATTTCCTTTTGTTTGTTTCAAACCTGCAACATATTGATTTTATTTGATTACCTTTAGTCCTTATGTTATGTCAACAAGTAAATAACTTTTCCTTATTAACTTTTTCCATATCAGTCATGATTTTATAGACCTCTGTCATATCCCCCCTTAGTCTCCTCTTTTCTAAGGTGAAAAGTCCAAGTTGTCTTAATCTCTGCTCAGATGGCAACTGTTCCAGACACCTAATCATTTTTGTTGCCCTTTTCTGAACTTTTTCCAATGCTAAGATATCTTTTTTGAGATGAGGTGATCATATCTGTACACAGTATTCAAGATGTTGGCACTCTGTATGTGGTCCTGATGGGAACACTGGCAGTGGGGCATGCACTGTGTGTGCTGGGGGCATGGGCCAGCAAGCTGTTTGGTTTTCAGGGTGAATGGGTGCAGGGTCATGCACAATTCAAATTTTATATTAATATTTGTGTGTGTAATTGTTAGTAACTGATGGATGCCACAATGGCACACGTCCAAACAATCCTACATGATGTCAGTATTGGTGTACAAGACAAAACTCAGTCTACTCATGGATGGAAAATCTTGGAGGGAACACTGAATCCCAGCGGGATACCACTAGTTACCGTTCTTCATTCTGAAAACTTCCATTTATTCCTAAACTTTGTTTCCTATCTTTTAACCAGTTATCAGTCCATGAGAGGATCTTCCCTCTTATCCTATGACCCCTAACTTTGCTTAAGAGCCTTTGCTGAGGGACCTTTTCAAAGACTTTCTGGAAATCTAAGTACACTATATCCACTGAATCCCCTTGTCCACATGCTTGTTGACCCCTTCAAAGAACTCTAGTAGATTAATAAATCCTATTACAGAAACCATATTGACTTTCCCCAACAAATTTTGTTCATATGTGTATCTGAAATTTCTGTTCTTTACTATAGTTTAAACTAATTTGACTGGTATTAACATTAGTCTTACTACTCTGTAATTGCCAGGATCACCTCTAGAGCCCTTTTTAAAGATTGGTGTCGCATGAGCTATCTTCCAGTCATTTCGTACAGAAGATAATTTAAAGGAGAGGTTACAAACCACAGTTGTTAGTCCTGCAGTTTCACTTTTGAGTTCTTTCAGAACTCTTGGGTGTATGCCATCAGGTCCTGGTGACTTGATACTATTTAGTTTGTCAGTTTGTCCCAAAAACTCTTCTAATGACATCTCAATCTTGGACTATTCCTCAGATTTGTCACTTTAAAAGAATGGCTTAGGTTTGGGAGTCTCCCTACCCTCCTCAGCCATGAAGACCGATACAAAGACTTCATTTCGTTTCTCCACAATGAGCTTATTGTCCTTGAGTGCTTCTTCAGCATCTCAATCGTCCAAGGGCCCCACTGGTGGTTTAAGAGGTTTCCTGCTTCTGATGTATTTTTAAAAAGTTTTGCTATTACTTTTTGAGTTTTTGTAGTTGTTCTTCAAATTCCTTTTTGGACTTCATTATATTTTTACACTTAATTTGATAGAGTTTATGCTCCTTTCTATTTTCCTCACTAGGATTTAACTTTCACTTTTTAAACTATGTCTTTTTATCTCACACTGCTTCTTTTACTTGGTTGTTAAGCCACGGTGGCACTTTTTTAGTACTTTTACTGTGTTTTTTAATTTAGGGTATTTATTTAAGTTGATCCTCTATTATGGTGACTTTGAAAAGTTTCCATGAAGCTTGCAGGGATTTTACTTTTGTCACTGTACCTTTTAATTTCTGTTTGTTTAACCTCATTTTTGTGTAGTTCCCCTTTCTGAAATTAAATGCCACAGTGTTGGGGTGCTGTGGTGTATTTCCCTCCACAGGGATGTTAAAGTTAATTATATTATAGTCACAATTTTCATGTGGTCCAGCTTTATTAACCTCTTGTTCCAGATCCTGCGCTCCACTCAGAACTAAGTCAATAATTGCCTCACCTCTCTGCTCGGTTCCATCTCAAACCAACTGCTCTAAGAAGCAGTCATTTAAGGTGTCAAGAAACATTATCTCTGCATCTTGTACTGAGGTGGAGTGTACCCAGTCAATATGGGGGATAGTTGAAATCCCCCATTATTACTGAGGTTTTTTTATTTTTATAACCTCTCTAATCTCCCTTAGCATTTCATAGTCGCTATCAGAAGCCTATTGAGGTGGTTGTAATGTATCCCTACTGCAATATTCATATTACAGGTTGTACCTTCAAAAACGGGTGCACTCTGGTCCAGCAATATCCCTCATCCTGCAGAACCAGAGATGCTCCTGGACCAGAGAGCCCAGGAGCCTTAAGGGTAAGAGGGAGAGCCAGACCGGTGCAACAGGATCAGCAGCCCAGTGGCGGGCAGCACGGGGCAGGAGCATGGGGCCAGGCTGGAGTCCCCTGGTAACACGGATCAGTGCAGGGCACCGTGGCAGCCCCTGTGAGTGTGGGGCTGGAGTTGAGCCTTGTGGCAGCCCGGTGCCAGAGCCCCCAGCAGCCTCCTGGAAGGGAGCAAGGGGCCAGGCCAGAGCCCCAAGGTTGTGCCCAGATGCACAGGGCCAGATCCCCGCAGCAGGAACCAGAGGCTGTGCTGCCCAGGGAGCTGGCAGCAGCTGGGCAAGCAGCCCAGCCAGGTTGGGGAGGGTGAGGCAGAGTGCTTGCTGGGGCAGCCTGCCAGCGGCAGACTCTAGGGCTTCAGGCCGGTGGCAGGAGACCATGTCTGGTCCAGGAAATGCTCTCGTTGGTGCCAAGCCAGGGAGGTCCAACCTATATTAGAGCATGGAATTACTATCCATAAAGACTCTACAGAACAGTTTGTTTCATTTAAGGTTTTTACTTCATTTGATTCTGCACTTTCTTTCATGTATAATGCCCCCCTGTCTGTCGCACAACCCGTTCAGTCCCTCCGAAATATGTTGTACTCTGATATATCTCTCACTCGTTCACTCACTGTGACCCCCACATCTCCTTCTTGGATCATGATCCAAAATTACATCACCATGAAATTGTAGATTTAAGTAACCGAAATCATGACATTTGTGACTTTTTAAAATTCTGTCACTGAGACCAAAATGGACCATAATTTGGTAGGGCAGCAAAAATCCATAATTTTTGCCTTAATAGCCTCAATAGTGCTATCTTAACATCAAGGACTGCCATATAGCACAATTGCAGCTGGTAGTGCAGCCCAAGCCCTTTACTGCAGAAGAGCTTGTTCCAGAGGCATGAGTTCCAGCAACTTCTTTTGGGTTAAGATAGAAACCTGATGACTGGAGTGTTATAGATGGTTACATTAATTAAGTGATTTTTTTTTTTAAAGGCTTGCTTTTTAAGTATTTGCTGTTTAGGGGAAAGAAGGAGAGAAATGGCAGCTGGGAATCAATATTCAGGAGTACCTCTGCCCTTAGAGAGAATTAGGAGTATGCCATAGAAGAAAGCACTAGCACTGAGAGTAAGGATCCTTTTCTTGCAGTGATGAGAGTCTTAACTCCTTATTGTTCTGTTTTCAGCTGCTCTTGGTGTTCAGCAGCCATCGTTGCTTGGAGCCTCTCCTACAATTTATACCCAGCAAACAGCATTGGCAGCAGCAGGCCTCACAACACAAACGCCAACAAACTATCAGTTAACTCAGACAGCTGCTTTGCAGCAACAGGCTGCAGCTGCAGCTGCTGCATTACAACAGGTAAAGAAAATTGTGTTTTAGGAGTAGTTTCTGCTGACTTACACCAACTTCATTATATAGAAAATATTGGGTCTTTGAAGCTAACATAGCCTGACTTGGGGACCAAGTGGAATAAAATTCATTTATCTTCCCTCTACAAACAAGTTTGATTATTTAAAAATAAAAAAGGACAGTACTCCTAGAGCCATGAATAGGTTTACCAGTCTATGAAGATAGGCACTGTTTTTGCTGAATCTCTTATCTTAGGTAGTAGAGAGTTCAGATTGAGATTTTTAGTGAAATTAGTTTATTACTGTCAGCGCTGAAACATACACATTACACGTTGAATGTTCCAAATACTTCATGAAGCTGCAATATGTAGTTCAATAATATTTGACATAATTTCATGTTTGTGACCTAGATACTTAATTATTTTGAGTGGCAGGATTAATGGATGATTTGATAATGTGGAATCAAGGATGATTTTTAATTCTGAAAATCTTTGTTTCAGAGTAATATATATTGACTGTATTTGTCAAGTTTTATATTAGAAATGACCAAATTTGACAGTGTCTCCTAAAACAGATTTAATTAAATTTTTGTATTTGTTTCTTTCCTAAGGGATTTAACTGCTGATTTGCAAATATAATTTTTGAAGAAAAATATTTTCTGTTTATGAGCTTTTTTGCTTCTGTTTTTTAGCAATATTCACAACCTCAGCAGACACTGTATAGTGTACAACAACAGGTTTGTCTAATTCTTATTATGTACATTACAAATAGCCTTTTCTGAAGCTTGCATGTCTTTAAACAATGTAAATAGTTTAAATTATGAATGAGAATTTGAGTCTAACTTCACATCCATTGAAATATATCTATAGAATAGGAGTCTTTCTGTGTTACCTGGAGAATTTGAAAATACTGTGCCTTGTATGTACAGTAAACCTCAGATACCAGTCAATCGTACGCTTAATTTGGAACCAGACATGTACAATTAGCAGCAGAGATGGGGGAAAAAAAGAAAGCAAATATAGTACAGTTCTGTATTAAACACAAACTACTAAAAATAACAGGAAAGCAGCATTTTTCCTGCATAGTAAAATTTCATAGCTGTTTTTAAGTTAATATTCAGTTATGTTTGTTCTTTCAAAAGTTTACATTTTATTGACAAGTATCAGAAGGGTAGCCATGTTAGGCAATCTGCATAAACAACAAGAAGTCTTGTGGCACCTTATAGACTAGCAGATTTATTGGAGCATAAGCTTTCGTGAGCAAAGACCCACTTTGTCAGATGCATGTGTATGTACATTTTGTTGAGAATTATAAACGTTTCAAAATTATGAACAACTTCCATTCCTGAGGTGTTCATAACTCTTGAGAGTCTACTGCATGTGGTCCATGGTAAACACTATGCTTTAGTAATATTATGTAGTTTAACTGCTAGAATGATTCTGTCCAAAGAGGTCCTGTTGCATACATTGTTCTCAAAACTGTGAAAGTGACAGTATCATGAGAGAATACAGGGGTTGGTAAATTACAGATTGAGACACTGCCTCACTATTAAATGTTACAGATTTATGGTGGTAAAATAATTAATTCAAGTGTCCATTATTGAGTAAGTATGGAAATTGTTCTTTTGGGGGGAAAGAGGGAATAGATATGAAGAATATAACTATAAATTATCAAACTCCAATGCATTAACCTTCCACTCGGATAACTAAGTTAAAGAAGCAAAAACTATTTTCTTCATTATAAAGAGAAGGTAAAACTGTATAATTTCCTTAAGCATATCAAATTAATTTATAATTTTTTATTTAAGTTGCAGCAACCTCAGCAGACCCTGTTAACCCAGGTAAGTTTGGTTGTATTGTTTGGTCTTCATCTGCAGACATAGATAATAGGAGACTATAAATGTGTTGTCCTGGACTTGTTTTTAATTTTAAGGGTTTTTTTAAAGATGAGGATGGATTTCCTATATATTGTCTTGTTACAAATTAGTATAGCTTTGTTTTATTGTATCCAGCTGTAAAAATGTGTATAGGTTTAGTTTTAATAATTAAGGTCAAGGTTTTTATCATTGAATCTTACATTTTTTTTGCATATTGTTTTATACAATAATTTAACGTAGAATTCCAGCTTTTGATCATTTTACAGTATACAGCAGCTTGGGGAAACATTGTCTTGAGAGGAATTTAGTGTTCTGTATTTTTTTTAAACAATATTGCGTATACTGTTTTGAAGGGATCTTTCTAATCTTGACCAATCTGAAATGAGTAATTCTTTAAAGCGTTTTTAATTGACTGATTAGAATAGAATCGTATTAATTCCAGACTCTGCTTGTTTGCAGAATTGAACCAGAAGATTGAGTGGAGGGACTATAAGAATGCAGTTCCACGTTACCCAATAGCTTGGGTTAATAGTGAATGGCTCTGCTTGACATGCTATGAATTTTTTAAAACCATGATGCAACTAGGGATGTAAAATTCCATTTAATTGGTTAACCTGGTAAACATAGTGTTACCAATACACTTAACCAGTTAATCAATTAAAGGTGGGGCAGATAGGCTGAAGTGTCTTCTCCCCCTTTCCCTCCACTGTGGCGGGGGCTGTTCCAGTGCAGACAGAACAATACCTGCCTGTGGCAGGGGGACTGCTCTTGGGTACTGGTTAACTGTTAACCATTACCCTTCATATCCCTAGATGCAACATAGTTTTTTTAGGTTGATTGGAGTTATTTAGTGTAACAGTATCTTCTAAATGTATTAAGTTAATGATTTCTTTTAGGAGTAATGTGTAGGTCTCTATCTGCTTTTGGCTTTAAAAAATTAAGCTTTGTTTATAAAGTAGAAAGATTATTCTAAAATTTATCATTTCCTTTCCCCGTAGGTATTCCTTGTAATTGTGTCTGTGTGATGTGAATGCTTATAGAATGTGATGTGAATGCTTATAGAATTTGATGTTTTATTTTGATTACAGCCCACTGTTGCACTGCCTACCAGCCTTAGCTTATCTACTCCTCAGCCAGCAGCACAGATAACTGTTTCTTATCCAACACCACGGTCCAGTCAGCAACAAACCCAACCACAGAAGCAGCGTGTCTTCACAGGGGTAGTTACAAAACTACATGACACTTTTGGCTTTGTGGATGAAGATGTCTTTTTTCAGCTCAGGTAAGTGCACTTGGCGGCAGCTGTATTCCTGTGATGTCACCTCTAAGCAAAATGTTTCAAAACTTAAAACTCTCTGTTCCTATGGGTCTATTTCTTCAGCTAACATTATCTGTTAGCCTAATTTATATCTAGCATCTGTGAAAATTAGATGGCTGGGTAGGATAGTGGCTGTTAATGCTAGGTTTTTTAGCATGGACTTTTCTTACTCAGAATCCCATGGTAGGAGGCTCTAAAGCACTTAAATGAACTGTGGAGCTTAAGAACTTGGCAGAAGTGGAGTCAACAGAGTTCCTTTATTTAAATACATGCATTTGAGGTGCTGCTGGTGTGGGACCAGTAAGGGACTTTAACTGCTCCAAGTATAATCTCCATCAGAAGTAGGCATTATCCACCAGATTTTCATACAGACTAATGGAATTTGAAAACTATCTCCCCCAAATTTCTTTTCCGTTTGCCTCTGAATGGAGTATTTAGAGGGAATTCTGGAGATCTACTTATGGATTTATGAAGTCCTTTCTCCTTCCAACTGTAGGATTTAACAGTAGTAACATATAGTGTGAGCCTAGATACATTTTGTAAGATATTTGAAGTACAGGCAGTCCCCGACTTACGCAGATCTGACTTACGTCGGATCCGCACTTACGAACGGGGCTTTTCTCGCCCCGGAGCTCATGGGCGGCGGATCGCCACCCGTGTCCTCCGGGGCGAGAAAAGCTTCTCCCGGTCTCCCTGGTCTGCTGGGGGGGTCCAGCAAAGCCGCTG